CCTACTTCGATGTCAATCGCCAGAAGAACTGCGCTTTTGTCGAGTTCGCGACCGCCGCCGGCTACCAGGCCGCCGCCGCCGCTAACCCCCACACCGTCAACGGCGAGACAATCCACGTTGAGGCCCGCCGTCCCAAGGCTGGCGCATACGGTGGCAGCAACTACGCTTCCGGACTTGGCGGCGCTCCCAGCCGCGGACGCGGCGGTTTCGAGGGCCAGCGCCAGGGAAGCCAGGGCGGTGGCCGTGGCAACTTCACCGGCGGACAGGGCCGTGGTCGGGGTGCTCCCCGCGGCCGTGGCGCCTCGCAGGCTGCCACCAACGCTTGAGCCAAGGCAGCCTTTGAGCGCGCTGCAGGGCACATGCACGACCGAGGGTTGATATCACACGCATGATGGAAAACCCACGGTTCGGTGGATGATGCCGATTCCACCTTTTACCTTACCAGTCGCAGCATCTCGCGCGCTTACTGTCGACTTGTAACCACACCCCGATCACATCCTCCCTCTCCTCCTTTCCTCTCTCCAGTACCCTCTCAGGGTCCTTGAGCTGCGAGAAGCCAAAAGCTGGTTATTGTTTTCGGAACCCCTTTCTATTTATTCATGTCGTCTTTTCCACGGAGTTCGAGTCGGACGGGGCGTGGTTGTGATGGCCATTTTCCGGGCAGCTTGACCTTAGGTTCTGCGTGTTTCTTAATTTCCCCCGAACCCCTGGGCATTCTTCTGTTCCTCCCCGAGCATGGCCACTCAGCATTTGCATTTCGACCGTTTGTTGGTCTTTTTCTGGCGGCGGGCGACGGGAAAAGCACGGGGTAATCTAGCAAAGCAGGCGTCGGGTCTCTCTCTCTCTCTCTCTATGTCTCTCCTCGGGGCGGTGGCCCGGCCGCTCACGAACGAGGCGACGAAAAGTGTATATTTGACGAAGGCGAGTTTGGCGGTCGTCGCCGCAGGGCAGGTGGGCACGCAGGTAAAATCAGGTGGGCGGGGGGACATGTGCGCGCTCGTTGTGAGCGGACTGCCCACCTGGCAACGGGCGGATTTCAGGGATGGAAAGGAGGGTTGGGCGCTGTATTATAGTGGGCAGGAAGCGTCTGGAGGCAAGCAGGCCAGCAAGCAAGCTCGCGAGCATGGGCGAGCCACCTCGTCAAGCTGAGACGTCTGAAGCAGGACGCAAAAGAGGCTGTAATGAAAAATAGGGACGATGATTGCTAATTCCGACTCTTTGTCAGTCATTCGTGTCAAGCCTGGTGGTGCGAGGCATTCCATGTCGTTTTGTGAATTGCCATCTGCTTTGTCATGTTCGGGGAACGGGCAAACACTTCGCAGCCACCTTCTTGATGCGGCGAGGCGATCGCTGGCAGCCGAGTCCGAGGAAGAAGACGAGAAGTCTTGGAAGACCCCTCTATTCTCCCTCTCTGGTGGCCCGTCTGTCCCGCTTTCTCGGGCGAGATGCACAATAGTGGCAGGTCCAACTGCCGGACCAGGCAAGACCAGCAGGGCCCGTTTCGGCGCCGTGGCCGACGGCCGATGACAACCCCTTAGGGGTCACGAGCACGAGCACGAGCATGAGCACGAGCACGAGCACGAGCATGGGCATGGGCACACGGAGCACGGTAGGCAGGCACAGTGGTACAGGCGCGCAGTACACATGTGGGAAACCCTGCCTGGCAGCAGGCCGATGCTTGACTCAATTGGCTTCAGGGTAAAAGGGGGAGATCGACAAGCGTCGTACGCCGGCGCTGCACGAGACAATAAGAGAAGAAAAAAAAAATTGCGACAGGAGGATTGCGCTCGAGATGTGGGAGGCTTAGGCAAGGTGATTTGCTGTGATGTGCGGCGGGTATGTCGCTGTCTTGTCGTGCTCATCCATGAAGGGGGGAGGGGCGGGCGGAAGTCCAGCTGAGAGGAAGGGGGGCGTGGGCGGCGGCGAACCGGAACAGGGGGCGGGAGGCGAGGGGGGGGCTTCTGGAAGTGTTCCTTGGGCGAAAGATTCAATGGTGCCAAGAGACTGGAGTGGTAAGCTTAATGCTAGCAAGCTGTTGCTGTCGCAGGGATCAGGCATGAGTATGCTGTTTGAAGAGTATCGTGCCAAACGAGTGAAACATGAAGCTCTTGTTCGTAGGTATGTTTGTTCATCGGTTTGCCTTGACTGTCAGGGCGAGGCCCCTGAGCGAAGAGAGGTGAGTTGCTACTGGGTGGTGCCCAGGAGACAACAGGCGCCTTGTTGCTGTGCACCGATCATTTCCAGGTGAGTCTTGGTTGTTGCTAGGGCGTCGGTGTTGGTGGGTTTGTAAAAGAGGAGCTGTGATGATGAAGCCAACGGAGATGATAGCCGTTCATGGCTTCGCGCGCGGCTATCCGGGCATGGCGCTGGGGGTCGAGGATGGGGTACGACTGATGAGTGCGATGGTGAAAGGGGACGACAGTCTAACAGGAGGCTCACGGCGACTCCGCCGTAGATGCGATCGGCAACTAAGGTGCCAAGGGAGGGAGATGGTGGAGGGGGAGGTCGTAGCCGCCTTTGGTGGCTGCATGATTTCCAGTTCCAGACTTGGAGGCGGGGGGCAATGGCGATTCAGGAGGGAAGAGAGGAAAGCAATGAGGCACGGAGGGGCAGCAGGAATACGGGGAGAAGAGACCTTGGAACACACATGACAGCATGTAGGTAGGTATGTTGCGAGGTTCTGTAAGTGGTGAGGTGAGGGACAGTAGGGAGTTGCGGCGGAGGAAGTGAGCCGACCCAGATTTGATGCGACCTTGGAAATCCACCCGAGCTCTGGGTTCTTCCCTTGTCCTTCCCTATTCTTCCTTTGATCACGACATCTCCTGCCTCTCGTGTCGAGTGTCTCCATCAAATGCTTCAGTCCGGCCGTCTGCATTGCAAGCCTGGGTTGTGCTTGAGATGGATCAGATAGGTCCTGAAGAAGGACCTACCCAGAAGGGCCTAGCAGATCTCACGCCCTGGCCCGTCCACCCAGCCAAGCCAACCTCTGTGGCCTCTACGACCACCCCGTGAGGCCGCCGGAAGAACCCCCCTAACTTTGCACCTGCCTCAAAGCTTACACCCTTGTAGGATAGCCGGTAGGGAGCCCCTACCCGCTGTACGCTGTGCCCCATACGTGCCCCATGCCCCATGCTACCTGCTGTCCCATGCTACTGTCCCATGCTACTGCCCCATGCTACGGCCCCATGCCACCGGCCCCGAGCTCCTCCACTCACAGACACCAGCCATCACAGCACCCAGCGGATCAGCATCCAACTTTAACCTACGCATATGCCTCGCCTCTCCAACAGCTCGAATCCAGTCCGTCTACCTACGTATACATTGTACATAGTACCTTACCTACAGGATGTAGATGTACACCCAAGCGCACCAGCGGATCACGACAGTTCCTTGCTGCTGCTCCCGCCGCCGTCACAATATCCTCCGAAGAAGCACCTCACCATGGCTCCAAGCAGAGGTGCTGCCCGTCGTCTGCTTCCCGTGCCTCCCGACCCATGGCCACGTCGTCGTTGTGCTTTCGCTGCGATTGGCGCGGTCACCTTTCTGCGTGCTGATTGCCATGAGTTCGCGAGATCCGTTTCGTCTTTTTCCCCATCCTTCTAGAATGCTTCTTCTGCCCCTTCTGGAAGCTGTGCCCCCTCTCTCCCCTTCTCCTCTTCGACTGCTCCTCAAGGCTCAACCGTCATCCACCTTCTGCCTCTTCATCTTCACCAAACTGCTGTATCAACGCTCCCCCCATCTCGTGTCTTGTTGAGCGATTTGTCACGGGCTCCAAGGTGTCATATGCGCCCTACCTTATATATGGACCCTTGACATGACTTGACTCACTTCAGTTCCGCTGCTCACCCACAGCCGTACCGTGCTCTGTGTCTGTGCCTTTCACCGCGCCCTTGCAACACGACAACTCACTTTTCTTCCGTCTTAGCCGCAAAAGTTATTTCATTACTTGATGAAAACGAACCCTCTGCGCGTCCCCTGCTCTATCAAGACAAAAGCGAGTTGCGCAGACAGCACTGGTGCCAAGACGGTAGTCCCAGACGCAACATTGACCCAAACTTGGAGGCAACGATACCTTCTTACACGACCTCTGGCCAGCGTTTCCCTTCAGCTGAATGAGCCTCATGACGACCAAACCCGCCTCGTGTGCGTCAGCTAAACATACTTTTAAATCGAGTCGATGAACGAGCTTGAGCGGGCCGAAATTGCCGCAGCAGCTGCCACCTGCCTATCCAGCTCGTGTACTTACACTCGTTTGCATTCTCAATCCAAGCACCGACATCGACCTCCATCATGATGGTTGATGGCTCCTCTGGGACCAACCATCACCCTCGGACAACCTCTGTTCGCCTTACCACGCCCCATCACGCCTTTAATTTCTCTCCCCCACGCCTCGTCCTCTAATAGCATTGGAGCCACTCTCATGAGTTCTCGTTTTGCCGCAGGCGGCGAAGGCTTCTGGACCGCAGCCTCACGTTCCATTTCATCCTCCTCATCTTCAACGTCTACTCCATCCTCCACCACATCTACCGCTCGCCATGATGCCTACGGCCGCCGCCTCTCTGTCGAGGAGGACTTGTTCTATCAACAGCTCATGACAGCCGACCCGAGGCCGCCTTCGGAACCACCACCCCCCTATCGACCACAGGCTCCACGTCCGGCATCATCCCTCTTCTCCGCCACTGATGACCGCCGGCAGCAACCTCAGCAGAGGCAGACCCATATCGAGTTGCCGCCAGAATACCACACCGACATTGATCTCGCTGCTGTCTGGGAGCTTAAAATGGAACTCGAGGACGCTGTGGACCGCGCCGATGATCGCACCTGGCACACCGTCATTGTTGAATTACGCGGCACCAGTCTCAAGCTTTACAGCGTCAAAAAAGAGTGGACACAATGGGGCTGGGGCGCCGCACGCGAATGGGCGTCTTCCAACCAGTCTCCGGACAATCCGCCATGGGCTCGTCGAGCGACCCTTCTGCGGACCTACCACTTACAGCACGCAGACATTGGTATTGCTGCCGACTACAAAAAGTAGGTACTCATCATATATGAACAAGCGGGCAAGACCACCTGGCAGCAAAGGGAAACATGACTAACAGAATAGACGGCGTAACGTCATTCGCCTCCGCCTCGAAACAGACCAGCTGCTGCTGTCGTGTCTCGAGTCTGCCACCTTTGTTCGCTGGCTTGACGCCTTCTTTGCCGCCATGGCTATAGCAGCCCCCCTCGACGAACGCGAGTATCCCGCCGACCAGTCTGTGCCCCGTTCCCAGCGGACACGGTGGCTGCAGGCTCAGCGACGTGTGTCGAACGCGGGGAGGGTGAGCTATCCCGTCCCGACACCACGACCACTAGGCGGACTGGCGCTCGCACCGAGGGCGTACTCCCCAAGCATCACTTCGAGTCTGAGCCTAAGCTCGCACCTCGACATGGACGCTGATCCGTATCCGTCGCCTGAGATGTCAGATGGTACACAGGGCATGGCGGGACAAGGCTTAGCCCAGGGCCAGGGATCATCCGAGGGCTCGACGCCCGCGTTGTCGAGGCGATCGACGACCGGGTCGGCTAGTTTTCGGAGGCTCGTTGCTGCGGCCGGAGGCGGCGAAGTCGATGGCAAGTGGGCGCCGCCGCGCGAGACGTGGGATCCAGTGGATGATATGAGATATGCGCGGCTTTGCTTCGCCATCCTGTTATACCGCAGCCCGAGGAAGAGTGAGTTTGTCATTCGAGGAGGAACACGATGGACGATAAACTGGGAGACGGGGAGGAAAGTGAGGGTCTTTCCCCCGCGGTATGGGGAGTGGAGCGTGGGCTCGAAGAGAGGCACGTCACTACTGATGTGACAGGTTGCATGATTTCCTGCTGCATGGCCCAGACGCCACCCAGGCGCCAGATGGGCACATGGTAGTACGGTCACGAATGGGAAGTCAAACTAAATGGAGGCAGCTGGGGTGTGTTACTCTTTGGCATTATATAAAAGCCGCGCCGCGGCTGTCATGGCGTCGTGGGCATCATTATAGCATACATAGCGTGGTGTACAACGGGGCGCGAGCCCCTTTTGAACTTGGCCTCCCTCTTCCCTTTGCGCGTGATCCTGATTCGAAATGGCAGTCAACCTGATCGCCTTGCTTTGACTTGTCACCGAGGTTGCATCTAAGCTCGCTGCTAAGGTGCATAACGCAGTCAATGGCGTATTGAGAGTCTCGGACAAGCGAAGAAAGGAGAAGTGAGCTCCATTCTACATGCCTGCAATACCGCTGTCTGCCTTGCGTGCCTCAGCAGCAAGCTCGGGCGCCACTTGGCCAAGAAGATCGTTGGCGCCATCTATGTCAGCAACGACGCCGTCCAGGTCAGCAAGCAGAGCGTCCATCTCGGCGCGCTGGGCCTGTATCGTGGTGAAAAGGTCCTCGTTCTCCATGCGCGTGTTCTGGAGAGCGGCGCTCAGGTGCGAGTAGGCATGAGCGAGCGGCGGGTGAAGATGGCCCTTGATCACGGCTTCAGGGGGCAGAGAGTGCGGGCTGCTCTGTCCGTCAGCTGATGTCTTGATCCGGAGAAACCCGGACTGTTCGAGCCAGCTGCTCGGTCCCTTGGGTTTGAGAGAAGCGGCGCCGGTATTTGGGGGTTTTCCAAGGGCACAATCGGGACTCACGGGATGGGTTCGGGCGCGTCGGCTGGGTGTTCGCCCTTTTGCCGATCTGCCTCGGCGACGAGGGCCTCGAGCTCGTTTAGCTTGCGCACGAGGTCCCTCTCGTCGAGGATGGCCTGGAAATCCTTCTGTGGTACCCGTCAGCATGCCATGTCTCTCTGCGCCTCATCATCTTGCATGTTGTGTTTGCTCTCCCTTTCGCACGCGCGCGGAAGTGGGATTCTCGCAAGGGGGGCGGAGGGGATTGGACGCACGTTGCAGCGGTCCTCGAGGTAGTCGACCATTTGCTTCTGCACGTTGCGCAGGGCGTTGGGCGCGTGGGCGGCAATGGTCGGGAAGCAGGCGGCGAAGTTGTCGTACTTGACGCGGGCCAGCGTGCGCCGCAGCGCCTCGTCGTACATCTTGATGAAGCGGGCTGCGCGGTAGCCCGGCGCCACGGGGGTGTGTTTCTCGGGGAGCGGGGGCGACGCGGGGGCTGCTGCTGCTGCTGCTGCTGCTGTCGCTTCGTCTTGGTCGGCGGGTTGCTGCTGCGGCGCGTCGGGGGCCGGGTCTTGTGGGGGGTTGTCGGGCGAGGTGTCCATTTCTGTGGGTTCTGGGCCAGGGGCCGGTGGCTGGTTGTCTGAGGGCGGTGGTTGTGACATTTTGATTAGGGGGTGGGTTGTACGCGCTGCCTATGGGATGTATGCGACGCGATGTCGCGATGCTGGAGTTGGTGTTGAAGTCGCGTTGGACGGGCGCGAGGGTGGCCATGTGGATGCAGCTTCAATGGCGGGGTGGTCTTGATGACTCAGCCATCCCAGTGCTAGGTAGGTACCTATCAAGGCACTCCTCGAATTCAGTTTTCCCAAAACCTTGATCAACGTGTTGGCAAAGACAAGCGCTACCGCTCATCAAACTTGAACCGGATGAGATCATACATGGTCGTATCTGCAACAGAAATAATTCCCGGCTTTGCCACGGGACAACAAGTCTTGAGACGGCGTCACATGTCGCTTGTTTGAGATGCTTATCATTTAGTGACGGCTTCGAACTCACACCCTTCATACACGAAGAAAGGGCCCCTCCGATTTGAATAAGATATCAATGCGATACCGAGATGAGTTCCATTGAGTCTCTCTCACGTCTGAATGCCGCTTACACGGGCCGCGCGCCAATACTGAATATGTGTCTGCCATGTGGCGGACTTACTGCGCTTCGATCAGCGAAGTCTATTCCAGGTACAAGTCCACATACGACTCTGTTGAGACACAGTGAGAGGACAGGTGCATTGAGTTTTCAACTATTCCAAAAACAAGTCCACATATGACTCCGTCGGTCGACAGCGCCACGACGTCTTTATGTGCGTTTCGAGACTCCCAGCGATGAATGTGGCCTGCCAGTCAGTCCATCTTCGGACAGACATGAGTGCTTCCAAAGGGGCCTTGTTCGGGGGAGCCTTGTGGCAGAGAATACTCCTTGGGAGAGCTCAGGTGCTCGGCTACCTTGATCGGTACTATCAAGTTTTCATGTGGAATCGCCGTCTTCAACACTTTCATTGTCACTCTGCAGTGAGCTTGTTGAATGGTCAACCGTCTATCTCTGTGGTATTCACAAACTTGCAAAACGTACCTGTCCTCACGCCAATTCTCTTAGCTCTCCATAGGAACGAAGCAGAGCATTCGATAAAATGCGGCGAATGCGGAGCCTGCGGATTTCAAAGGCGCCTGAGAGCTGGAACAGGGAGGGTTGTATTAGAAGCTTCAGCCAGGATTTGCGTCAGTACGTGTTGAAGCCTTCTTGAGGTCCCTCCATCCATCAGATCATCCATCACCAAGGGCCTCAACCTCGCCCAAACGGAGCTCTCGTCCCACACAGTGAGTCATTATATTCGACACGTACTTTTGCGTACGCTCTCACTGACACAGCTGTTCACTTAGGTGCCGGTCACCTTCCTCATTGCCAGGGCTCCCAATCCTACGCCTCTGCGGCAGCCGGCAAGAGCTATGACATGGCAACCTCGATCCCTCCAGCAGAGAATCAGAGATGACAAGACCTTGGACAAGCCCATAGGTCGGATGTCGCTGGGCGCATGTGTGGGCCCAGGATCCAGACTGGCGCTCTACAGACAGAAGAACGCATCGTTCGCGCTGAGAACGCCAGCGCCAATGGTTTTGAGGCTCTCGGTAACTTCGCCGGCGGCGTCGTCGTTGCTCATGTCGCTGGTGTTGACGCCTCTACCATCAACATCCTCTTCCTAGCCTATTCAGCTTCTCGCGTCTTCTACACCTTCGTCTACGTCGTCCTTCAGGAGATTTTCAAGAGAATCGCAAGTTTGCTCCTCTGTGCACTCTCTCATCTGATTCGTGTGCCAGACCATTACTGCCACCCTGTTCTTCAAGGCCGCGGGCACCCTGTCCACCTGATCCGCTTTCGGGATTCTCTTGTGGTGTGTGCAATCACACTGTTGTACGTGTTTGCTTATGGCATACCATGTCCTTTTCTTTTCGTTCCATATAATACCAGGTTGACAGTACGAAGACGATCCAACTGCTCCTTATTTGCCTCTTTCTGTCACGATTCTGTCAAGAAAACTCGGGACCTGTGACACTTGCATCGTCCCATGTCCACCCTGCCGGCATCCTTCTTCCGAACCGTCCCACCGGCCGCGCGCCATTGTCACTCGCATTCGGTGTGCTTGCGATGCCACAAGACGTCTCTCTCGGACGAAGCTGGCAGTCCGCCCCCACGTCTCGAGCGCACGTCGATAGTACAGGAAACCGCCCACACGGCTTTCGAGGCTACAAGAGACGTGCTTCTCCCGGAGCTCGCCGAACGGTCCGACTCGCCTCACCTCGCCATAAACCCTTTCAAGATGACCTTCTGACTTGCTCTACACGCCTCACCATCAAGCCCCGTGTCATCCGATTTTTCTCTCCGCAAACACTTTCGTGACCTCAATTGATTACAAAAAAAGCTAGGCTCCGTTGCTGGCCTACGAGGCCGTATTGCCCATGAGACGATGCTGGGCCTTGTACTATGTAGTACAACATCTCTGAACCAACCGCGAATTAAGGGCTGCCGAATGAAGCGATCATCACTCCTGTACTGCCTGGCGGCTCCTACCAATCAGGTGATACTGTCTGTTTCTACATCCTCAACTGCCTGCCTTGAACCCACTTGATACATGTGGTTCATCGAGAGGCATGATTCAGAGGCTTTGACGGTAAATAACTGAGAGGGGCAAGACTAAACTCCCTTCCAAAAGAGAAGCAGCTATTTCCTAGCCAAAGCCCTCGCCTCTTTCATCTACGCACCCAACAAAGCAGGCTTGCTGAGCGCACCAGCTCTTTCGGTGATCAAACCTCAGCCCTTGATACGCCAGTAAGTCCAGATTCTTCATTGTCTACCATTCATCAAGGATGGACGCAGGATCAGCCGAGCTATTCTCGTCGCCCCCGGACCTTTGAGGCACAACCTCGCGTTAGGTGTCAACTCCATGCTCTGAACGCCTGCCATGCAGATTCGTATGAATCGGATCGTCTGGCTGTCCTCTTCCACTGCTATCCATGGCTGAACCCCCAGGACACTCCGCCTGTTTCGTGTATCGCCCTTCGCAGTTTCGACTTCTGTCGAAGAGTGCTTGAACAAGCTCCTGAAAGCAGCAGACTCATACAATTTCAAGTGAAGGCAAGTGCCTGGGCACCGAGAAGCTTTCACATGTCCATCCGCATATAATTTTACGAGGCACTATTAACGATGCGTACCTTACGCTCCTAGCTTTGCAAACGCTTGCCGAAAGAGACTCTCCGCCCCTTTATTGAGATCATACCCGAAGCAGTCGGCCAGACAGCATCAAGACACAATGTCGCCGTTCAGCAAATTCGTCCTCGGCTTGAGCCTGGTGACGGCCATCCTTGGCGCCGCCGTTCCCGTCATCACAGTTCCCGCTACAATCTCGACCGTCACCGGCCCCGTCTCCCATGCTGCCACCGACACCTCGATCAGCTGCATCAAAGACTGGTGCCAGGACGGGGTGTCTATGTGTCTCTACTGGGGCGGCGTCACTAGCTGGGACGTCTCTCATGGAGTGATCCCTGGCATGACCCAGACCGTCTTCTCTGAGCCCTGCACCGTTCCCGCTGCCGCTTCTACGGCTGTGACCAATGTTTCTGATGACGACGAAATACTCGACAGCAAAGCGGATATTGAATTCAATGGTTTATCGCTGGTGACGGCCAAAGCTGTCGTCGATTCCACAAGCTCAACTGTCGGCAACGAGACGACTACCCCATCGACGAGCAGCGTCTTGTGCAATCCGACGTACTGTCAGGACAGTACCTTGTACTGCCACTACTGGGCGGGCGTGACGGGCTGGGACGTTTCGCTAGGGCTTGTGCCTGGGATGCAGCGCAGTTCAATTGGGGAGTGTGAGTCCGTGACGGGTTCGGCCTCTCTGGTTGATTCGGCTACGGCCACGGCCACGGCCACGGCCACGGTTACAGCATCATAAACGCCCACGGGCGCCATGTCTTTCGAGAAGGAGACGTAGCCAGACGACGTCAGAAGGTGTTCTAGAACAGGCGTTTGCCGTTCCAGGTGGGGATACCGACGGGTCTCACTGGGGTAGATTGGTGATAGAAGGCGATGTTCCCTTGGAGACTAGCCCATGGAGGAGTTGAGTATTGAAGTCTAAAACGTTGTCGCAAAGGCTGTGTCTGTCAGCTTACACGACATCGATGATTCTGGTGAAAGTCTTCGTTTCGACATTATGAGACCTATTTCAAGAATTCCGCGTATACTAAGGGCATGGTGGCGCTCGAAGTATTTCCACGTGAGTCTCTAAAGGTGAGATGAGATCGCAATCCGAGGGCGATTGATAGATGTGAGTATTGTTTATGCATTGAGTGGCTGATTCTCATTCTCAAACACGATCATGAGCGCGTTGAGGCTCACTATGAGAAGCGCTTGAAAACCTTCCCTAAGCCCAATTCCGATGATGTTACGTAAGAGGGAAAAATGGGGCACACAAATGGGAGTGAAGGTTGTTGTAGTCGTATCAATGGCGGTGCTCGAGGGAGATGATGCAGATGACGGACATGAAGAAACAGATGGCGTTCGAGGATGGCAGACAGACAAAGCAAGGGACTTTCGCTCTTCCGATCACGGAGGGCGAGGGGCATGGTTCATCATTGAGTCGCCGACGGGCATGCATCGAGTCGCTCTGAACCGGAGTCTGGCAACGTATCGAGAATGTATGTGAGAAACGAAAGCACAAGTCGAGTCGCCTACCTTGTGCGCTACCTTGGTCTTCAGACACTAATAAGGCAAGGCTTGACAGTGATGAATCACCCGTATGCACCTGTACGCTCGCGCACGGCTCAAACTTTTTCTCACCCTCCAACACGACTCGCGCGCCCGACCTGGCTTGGGTTGTTGATGGTACTAAAAGCGCCCAACACAGTCAAAACCACATCTGGGGATGGCTGGTTATGCCGAACGCATGTTGAGCGACGGTCTGGGGACTCGATCCGTAGGCAAGCAAACCAGAGCAGACTTGAGTTGATGATGCCTGGAGAGAGGCGTCGGCAATAGGCACACTCGGTTGCCTTGGACAAGGCAGACGCGTCATGATGCCGCCACGGATGAGCGTCTCGGCTATGCCTGGGAATGAACCATGATTGATGATGACATGCTGATGGATTGCTGGATTGCTGGATGAAATCTGGCGTTGATGTTTGCATGCATGTGAAGGTAATATGGAGGGCGCCCTTGGTTTGGGTTAGGTAAGGAGGTGGTGTTCGGCTGCGCACTACTACGTACATGTATTAACTGACTGCCTCAGGGGCGAGAGCAGAGAACTAGGGAGGAAACAGGCGGCAAGGTTCCATTGGTCCTACTGGAGGCAAGACCAGGCTTGGCATCCCCCCTTCCCCGTCATTTCCAGAGATCAGATTTGGGAATGAGGTGGAGACGAACTGTCCTGTGCTTTGCTTCTGCCTGTTATCTAACAGGAACTTGCGACCAAGACACCGACATGCGCCAAAATCCACTCTACCCAGCACCGTGTGAAACAGTGCGAAAATAGCCCCTTGCTAGCGATAACAATTTTTCCCATTCATTCCCGCCCGGTCCTTTCCTCCCCAATCCGCTTGCAAACGGACCCCCCCCCCCCCCCCTTCTCCTGCCCTTGCCCCCTTTCTTCGGTGGCCCATTCTGGTCCACTGCTACCGCCTGCTACTGTCTCAACCTGAGGAAGCGTCTGGCACTCAGCAAGCTGTCCAGCCCACTTCGCGGACGGGCCCCAGATTACCTGAACCAGACAAGCCGAACCAGTCCAACCAGACAGTCGAAATCAGGGTTCAAGGACCAGCATCACCACCTGCCT